TATTGTTTCAGAGCTATGCCAGGTAGGAAAGTTCTATTCCCATAAAAGCCTTAGAAATTATAAAATGATAGTACAAACACAGAAACTCTGAAAAATTAGAAGTTTTGACAAATCAAGTTTTCATCAGAATTAAGGCACTTAAAATTAATGTATTATTTTTCCCAAAGGTTTTTATACTTACCAACTAGCAATCTACAAGCTTTAATAAAGGATAATCTATTATTCTATCATTCTGCTATAACACATGCCCTCCAACTAGAAGCGGGTAGATTTCTAATTAGACCCATAAGAAAGTAAACTTAATAATTAGATCCCAGTTACAGCATCACTAAAATACATACTCTCTTCATATACTAACATATATACTTTGTATGTCTCTGGTGGCCATCACATATAGAAAAGTGTTTTACATATCAAATGAAATAAAACATTCATTGTTTCTGGGTCAGAAACTCTGGTATTCATCTTTTTAAAAACAAAAACCCAAAAAAATATAAAGCACTAAAAAGTTATTTCGGCATAGCTCAGTGATTGAGCATTGACCTATGAACCAGGAGGTCACGGTTTGATACCCAGTCAGGGAACATACCCAAGTTGCTGACTCGTTCCCTAATGTGGGGTGTGCAGGAGGTAGGTCCATCAATGATTCTCTCTCATCATTGATGTTTCTATCTCTCTTTCCCTCTAACTTTTTTTTTTGAAATCAATAAAAATATGTTTTAAGTTATTGTGCAAATCTTAGCATTATATGTATAATCTACTTTGTGCCCTGAAAGCCAATCCTTTTTTTAAATCTTTTAGTTCATATCCTAAATTATTCATTTTTATTGTTATATAAATTCCAAATTTCTCAATATTCTTATCATTTAAATACAAACTCAAATAATACAGATATAATATATCTAGGAAATGCCCCAACCACCTACCTTTAAGCTAGAGTTATAGTCTGTGTTCACTTTGAACATAAGCCCAAGACGTAAATGAATTTCCTTGGCTCGACAAAAGCTGGGATCAACATAAAGCACCTCCTGAAATGCCTTAATTGCCCTTAAAGAATATAGACATAAGAAACTGTAAGATTCTAGTTATTTACAGGTATTTTCCTTAGTAATTCAAGAAACATTCTGGTACAACAATGTTTACTACAAATATAACAATTTTATTAAAACATTATGAATATTAAACGACATTAGGAAAACGTAAGGAATGTCAGTTGAATTCAACAATATTTACAACATTTTGATTGTAAATAATCAATTTAAATTTTTCCAAAACATCTTAGAAATAGTATAGTAAGAAAGTTTATGAGGGCAAGAGAATAAAAATAATAAAACTTGGATATATACTGTTCCATAGAAATCAACTTTCAGAAGTTTTACTTACTGTAAGTATATCATGTAAAATAGTTAGTGGCTAGTATATAATTTTTCCATATTCAATTTCTACAAAAGAGAATAATTTCTGGAAAAGACTATTCTTAGGTCTACAGCAATGCAGTGCCACTTTTGCCATAAATCAATGGCCCAGGATTTAGAGACTGCTGATTTGTCTACATACCTCAACCTATCAGCTTACCTTTGTCCTAATTGTATTCTGTCTTAATTGTCTTTTTAACAGGGGTTGATTACCATTAAAAATTCCAGATATACCGGACACATTTTGAATATTTCTTAGCATTTAAATTTTGTGAATTACTAATGAGCATGAAAAAAGACAAAAAGAAAAAACTTCATTTTGATGTCAAATACTGTATCCCCTAGAGATCACTTTTAGAATCTTAATGTTTCAAAGTCAATTTTATTTGTACTACAAATAGATGTGCATACCATGAAGAGAAAGCACTTCAGTAAGTCATTAGTTTGTCTTATTTCTAAAACTGCATGGCTATATATACATTTACTACAAAACTGAGCATTTTGGGAAATACATAGACATCATTTATGAGTTATCTAAAAATTTATAATCATTTCTCCACAAACATTTTCACATATATTCAGAGGTTGGCAAAAGTAGGTTTAGAGTTGTAAGCACACAAAACAGTTTACTGTTGCATTATTACTTGTCAATTGTGTATTATTTATTTGAACAATTATAAATCTAATTTGTCCAAAGCTATATTTAAAGCAATTAATATTTCCAATGTAAACTAACTTAGCTCACTATTTTATTTTATTTTCTGCAATCTACAGAGGCTCATGGTTTTTATCTTAACTATGTAAAACTGCTGTAAAGTTCTTTGTTACCAGCCTCACATTGAATTTTATGCATATTTGTTCTGGCTAGCTAAAATAATTGTATCTATGTGAACAAACAACTGTAAATACTGATTAAAAAATGGACATCATTCCACCTTCATGTAGCACAAACCACAACAAATTATTTCATTTAGTATAACTATTAGATTTCTTTCTAAAAAAATTTCCCGATAAACTTGATTAAGTCCTATCTCTAACTACTGTAACCTCTTGTCCTCTTCCCATTTATAAGTGATCACAAGTCTATGAATATAATATTGATAATTGTGCAAAAAAAATGCCATGTTTTTCTTTCAGTTTGGAATATGTATGCTTTAAATTAATAGAGTAGGGACCTGAACTCAAGGACTGCTTCTGTCCCTAAATAAATAGATAAAAAATATGGAGTAAAAATTAACACATCTTATTTCCCCTATCAACAAAAAGAAAGAATTAAAAAACTATGTGATCTCTAAGATCTTTTCTAGTTCTAAAAGTTCAGAATTGTAAATTACGTGACTAGGATTTTTCAGAAAATTTACAGAGACCTTAAAATGGTCCTAATCTAGGCTCATTTTAAAATAAGATTCTTACAAAATAAAGGGGGTGGTTTTATTTTAAGATCTCTCAAAGCAATGTGTCATTCAACAGGAAAAAAAAAGTTGTAACATCTACAATCCACAAGTTTATCTAATAAGCAATGTAGTGCATCCAAACATAGCATAATTAAAAAACCCCAAAGCCAACAAGTTAAGTAAATTAGTAGTCCAATTGTGCGACTAAAAGCTAAATATTCATCTCTGGAAAATGACATGAAAATCTGGTCAACGCAAATTTAAGAACTCTGAATTAATATTCAGAATGATCTAGACAACATGCTTATAAACATTGGCCATGTACTCTTCCTTTGAATTCTCATAACATGTAAATAAAAAAAACAAAAGCCAATTTAAAAAAAGTTTTAGAAAACAGTATACAAAATCTTACTTATGACTGACTAGTACAGTTAATCCTCAACACTGAAAGACATATCCTAATTGAAAAATACTGAGAGTTTAGAATGAGGGCTAACCTTTAGTGGAAGCTTAAAAAAGTAAATATGCTACTAATGAAATGTATGTCTACATTAAAATATTTTGTACTTATTTCTTACACATACACACACACACTGAAAGCTTCTACTGTAAGTCAACTTACCAATGAAATGCATTGTAGTAGAAGTAAACCAAACCAAGGCCATATAAAAAGACAGCATTCTGTTAAAAAGAATAGTAAAAGTTTTACATTTTAGATTTCTAAATTCTAAAAATTCTTTCACATCTTACAATACGATGAAAAGAAACAATAAAATCATGAGTCAACAGGAAACATGGAAGAAGACTAAAAGCTTGAAGAAACCTTTCCAGTTTCATTTTAATCAACTCTAGAGAAAAAAACACTTTTTAAAATCTTAAAATTTGTGAAAACCACACACAAAAATAAAACAATCCAGAGAAAGAGCAAAGCTGGAGGTGTTATACTTTCTAATTTAAATTATACAACAAAGCTATAAAAAATACCTGTATGGTACTGGCATCAAAAAAATAACAGGCCAAAGGAACAGAACACAGAGCACAGAAACCCTCACATTTACACTCAACTAATATTCAATAAGAGAGCCAAGATAACACAATGGCAAGAGGGTTGTCTCATCAACAAAAGGTGGTGAAGAAAAGAGATTAACACATGCAAAGTTCATGCCAAAAAAGTGAAATTGAAACCGTATCTTATATCACTCACAAAAAATTAACTCTAAACAACCAGAGGGTAATATTAATCATGAAACCTGATACTATAAACCTCCTAAAAGAAAATGTAGAAATAGCACCTTGACACTTGTCTTAACAAAATAATTTGCAATTAGAGAAAAAATCCTATATAATAAAAGACTAATATGCAAATTGCCCCCTGGACCAGGAGTTCAACCGGGGGGCAGGGCCGGCCAGCCAACTGCCTGCAGCTCCTCCCCCCTGGCTGGCCCTGCTCCCAATCAGCTCCCCCATCTCGATTTGCATGGGCTGGCAAGACCCCTCCCTTGCACGAAATCGTTCACGAGGCCTCTAGATTTATATATAAAAAAAGAGTAAATTTTTTCAAGATCACATTTCTTAAAACCAAAGTTCTATTACTCTCTGTATAAGTGATGGATTATAAAATTAATCATTTTAAATGTTCATAAAGACTATTATTTATCTTCACAATGTAAGAAAATACAAGCTTACATTCGTGTACTATAGTTGATAAGGAGTTTGAGTGCACTTTAAATGTTATTGTCATAAGGTAAATTTAAAAATTTGAAATGAGAAATTTCAATTATCAAGGTTTCATTGGTATTGATCATTTTAGTACTTTGAAAATATTTTTGCTGCATAAAAATGCAGCATTCCCACCCATGCATGAATTCATGCACTGAGCCTCTAATGTAAACAATAAAAGCAAAAATCAAGAAAGAGGAAAATATCAAACATAAAAGCTTCTGCAGAGCAAAAGTAACAATTAACATTAAAAACAATCAAACTACAGAATAGGAAAATATCTGTAAAAACCACATATGTAAACCAAGGAGTAACATCAAAATATATACAGTATTTACAAATCAAGAGCAACAACAAAAAACCATTCTGAATAAAAGTGACTGCCTGGTCGGAGTGGCTCAGTTGGTTGGAATGTCACCGTGTGCACTCAGAGGTTACTGGTTCAATTTCCGGTAAGTATACATGCCTGGAATGCAGGCTCAATCCCCAGGGGTGGCATGTATGAAAGGTAACCAATCCATCAATTTTTCTCTCACACATCAATATTTCTCACTCTCTCAGCTTTCCTCTCTCTAAGGATGGCCTCAGGTGAGGACAAAAAAATAAACAGGTGGACAGAAGAACTAAATCGATATTTTTACAAAGAAGATATTCAAATGGCCAAGATGTTCAACATTTAATTATTAGGAAGATAATTTCAAAATCAGATTGAGATATTACCTTACATTTGCTAGAATGGCTATCATCAAAAAGACAAGAGATAACAAGTGAAGAAAAGAAAGTTCATACACTCCTGGTGAAAATGTGAACTGGTTCAACATAATGTACTACTCAAACTTAAAAATAGATCTAACACTGTTTTGGCAATTCCACTACTGAGTATTTATTCGAAGAAAATAAAAACGGATACTGAGATTTCCAATTAAGATGGCGGAGTAGGTAAAGATTGTGCTTGCCACCTCACATGAACACATTAAAATTACAACTGAACAATCACCCTGCAAAACAATCTGTAGGTAACTAAACAGAACTCCTCTAATAAAGAAAAAGCCACATGGAGAATGGTGGAAGAGGCAAGGACATAAATGGGCTAGTCCCACACCTTGTATGACAGTTAAGAACTTAGATATCTCTAATGCATAAGTTCCCCCTGGGAAGCTTAGAGATCCTAAGCCCACACTGCGCTACACAGTTTGAAGCACCAGTGCCAGGAAAAGGAGTCCTCACAACATCCAGCTGTGAAAATCAGCCTGGATTCCAGCTGGGGGAGACAAAGGATCACTGGAGAGCCAGGTTTCCACTTCAAGTGTCTGCATATGTCACTTATGTACAAACAATCCCCTTAACCTCCAGCAGTGAAAGAACAGCAGCTCAAAGGATGCAGGGACATTCACAAAGAAACTGAATTGTGTGATTTCAAGGCAAGGGCTTGAAGAGCAGCCATCATAGTTCCTTTGCTGAGACCTCCTCACACACAGTTTGCATGCACAAATGAGCACCAGATATGAATTAACCAGGTGAACACCACTCACCCCAACCACAGTTTGCAGACCAACACAACTCACATAGCACCCCAGTCTATTTCAGTGACCTGAGCCTCAAAGGTATGAGGTTGGCCCACGCTACAAACTTTTCTAGAAACTCTAAGACCCCGCAGGCACTAAGAAAATGGTGGATGTAATCAGTGTGCCCTGTGCAACTGCAGAGAAACCTGAGGTCCCGCACTGGGGCACCAGCCTTGATTCACAGTGCAACCTTTCTTTAGAGTCTCTCCCAGTGGCTCAGAACAACGACCAGGTGACATAGGGCAGGAACAGCAGCAGATGAACTTGGCCAGCACCAGAGTGCCTGCCAAAAGGTACCATAACCAAATGCCAGTAGCTGAGCTTACATAACAGCAGAGAACCACCTGAGCACATTAAATTGTGAGCACACTTCACAATCAGCATACCCAAATGATGGTTTTGGAAGCTAGGAAAAGCCTTGTTGGTGCACATGCCACTCCAATGGGTCAGATCCCAGACAGCAGCTTGTCATGGCCAGTCCTCATAGCCATCCAGTGAGGAGTTCAATCACATAACTGATGTACCAACAATAACCAAAGTTAAACTTACAACTGCAGCAACCAGCTCAGGTGACCAAAAAGTATGCACCTCTGGACACTTTCAAAGTGTCCAACAGGACACCTACTACATAAGGACATCCTACCATGAGTGGGAGACTTAGCAGCTATACCTAAATATAAAGAAACAAACAGAGAGGCTCCCAAATGAGGAGACAAAGAAACATGCTAAATCAAAGAACTGGCTAAAACTCCAGCAAAAAAAAGTCAACAAAATGTAGACAGGCAATTTACTAGGCACAGAGTTCAAACCACTAGTTGTAAGAATCTCAATGAACTTAGGGAAATGGACATGAATGAAGTGAGAACTTGAACAAAGATAAAAATCTTAAGAAAACGTCAGAAATAAAGAATACAATAACTATAATAAAAAAATACATTAGAAGGAATCAACAACAGATTAGATAAAGCAGAGAATAAACTCAGCAATTTGAAAGGGAAAAAAAAAACAATCAGAACAGCAAAGAGAAAAAAAGAATCCAAAAAATAAGAACAGTTTAAGGAACATCTGGGAGAGCATCAAATGTAACACCATTTGCACCACAAGAAGAGACAGAGAAAGGCATTGAAAACATGTATTTGAAGAAATAATGACTATAATTCCTTCAGAAACAGACATACAAGCCCAGGAAATGCGGAGTCCCAAACATGGCAAACCAGAAGAGGCTCACATCAAGACATATAATTAAAATGCCAAACGTTACCCCTCATCGGTTTGGCTCAGTGGATAGAGTGTAGGCCTGAGAACTGAAGGGTCATGGGTTCAATTCCAGCCAAGGGCACATGCCTGCGTTGCGGGCTCAATCCCCAGTGGGGGTGTGCAGGAGGCAGGCAGTCAATGATTCTCTCTCATCATTGATGTTTCTCTCTCTCCCCCTTTCCCTTCCTCTCTGAAATCAATAAAAAAAACTTTTTTAAATGTCAAAGGTTAAAGACAAAAAGAGAATCTTGAAAGCAGCACAAGAAAAGCAGTTACTTACATATACAGGCAAGCTCCCATAACACTGTCAACAGATTTCTTAGCGGAAATTTTTCAGGCCAATGGGATTGGCACAAAATATTCAAAGTGAAGGAAAAGAACCTATAAACAGGACTACTATACACAGAAAGGGTATTATTCAGAATAATAGGACAGATAAGGTACCTCCCAGAAAAGAAAAACCTAAAGAAGCTCATCACCATAAAACTACTACAAAGAAATAAAATAAAATAAACTTGATTAAGAAAATGAAGGGG